ATGGTTTAATTTAATCACATCTCCACTGTTTGTGAAAACAGCACATAGGCAAACAAAAATACTATTTTGAGTGGTTTGTTGGTGAATTAAGCACTTAAATATGAGGGAGTCATGTGTATAAACCCCTCCAGTGTTTCTATTCTAACATAGTTAACTCTACTCTAAAAGAGCTGTTGCACATTGGCAGGTCCAAGTGGCAACAAGAGGGAACTGTTTTAAAGGTGTGACACTTTCAATCCACCTCAGACAGCATGTTAATGTTTACTCGCGATAATTTATAAGAGAGAAAAGACAGAAGAATAACTGATGTTGTTAAAGGAAATGTGAGCAGAATCAGCAAAAGAACACTTAACAAGTTAGGGATTTAAATTTTATGTGTGGTAAATTATTACCTGTGCAGAATAAGGACAGACAGCAGGTATTGTAACTCTCTGACTAAGGTTTCTTGATCTAATTGTAAAAGCCACAGAAAGTCACCTGGATAGTCTACAGGTACATAATGACAAAAAAGGTGTCCATCCATCCATCCATCCATCCATCCATCCATCCATTTTCATCCGCTTATCCAGGGCAGGGTCGCGGGGGCAGCAGGCCAGGCAAAACACCCCAGACGTCCCTCTCCCCAGCAATGCTTTCCAGCTCCTCCTGGAGGACCCCAAGGTGTTCCCAGGCCAGATGAGATATGTAATCCCTCCAGTGTGTTCTGGGTCTGCCCCGGGGCCTCCTACCAGTGGGACATGCCTTGAACACCTCTAACAGGAGGCACCCAGAAGGATCCTGATCAGATGCCCGAACCACCTCAACTGACGCCTTTCGACGCAAAGGAGCAGCAGCTCTACTCTGAGCTCCCTCCAGATGTCCAAGCTCCTCACCCTATCTCTAAGGCTGAGCCCAGCCAGAAGAAGGTGTGTGGAATTTAATTCAGAAACAACCATTCCTGTATGAAAACTCATAAGTGTATCAGATCCACTGGAAGAGGTGTAAACTACTTAATGTCTAAGTTCTAACCCTTTGGCTTCAATTTTGTTTATCACGTCCCGCATCATATTTGACCGTGAGTCTCTCCAAACTTGTTTGGGTGTAACATTTTTTTAACTTGTGACTTGTCTTGAAAAAATGTGCTGAGATTTCTAATCAGTCACCTCAACAAACACTGTTAACATCTCTGTTGTCACCGTGCCACAGTGTCGCCATTTTGGCACCTTTCAGGTACCTGCAAAAGGAGGAAGTTATGAAGTGGATACAGTAACATGAGCACTTTTTAAAACTTTGCAAAGCAGCGCAACAACGCCCTCAGAAATTACCGCAGAGTTGAATCAACACAAAAATGAACACAAATCAGTTGTAAGGCTGTTATAAATTGCACAGATGCTCAGGCTGCCAAAGGCAAAAACTGAGGCAAAGAGCAAAGTGCAATAAACAGTGATTTGACTAGAAAAACAAGCTTTTTAATATCCAGGCCAGCAGAGAGCTTTAATTTCAGATATTTCTTCTTGTTGATTTATCTAATCTTTAATAGATTGACAACAGTGGTGTAGTGGAGGGTATATGCAGGTATTCAGGGTATACCCATCTCTTTTTCTGGCTGTTAAGAGTATACTCACCTATCAGCCAAAAAGCAATTGGAATATATAAGAGAGTATACCCACTTTCTCCACAGTAACCTACCCATCTACCAAGTACTTCACTCACCTCATCGACTACCACTACACCACTGACTGATGCCAATATTAGAAGACATGGTCTTGTTTCTAAATTGTAATACAGGCTCATAATCTGATAATTCTCTCAGGCTCATTTGTCTTGTTGGCAGATATCATATTCATAAAGCTAGGGTGCTTTAGATAACACTTAATATCTGTCTGTTTTGTGTTTAACTACAATATATCTTTGACTCTATTTTTAAGATGGCAACAAACAAAGCTTTTAAAACATCTCAAATAATTGGGAAAATTATGTTGATTAAAACATGATTTTTTTGTATTAGTGTATTAGTTTGTTTCATGTTCTTCCTTAGTTGTTTGATATTGTTGTTTCACATATGATGTAAACAATTATCATTTTAAATAAACTGAAATGTATATAACTGTGCACAGTGTACTGTTTTATTATTTTTTTATTTTATCATAGTTTATCGTACTTTATTTTATCTCATTTTTAAAATTTAATTAATTTAATTTGAATTTATGTTTAAAAATAAATTTATTTTGTTTTTTTATTTAATTTTATTTTATCGATGAATTTAAAAAAAAAAAGTCTCTTCTTCCCTCTTGGTCCTGGTGGAGGTAAGGAGCATGCGCAAAAGCATAGAGGCTCACCCAATCAAATAAGGTTATTTTCTACATTTGACTTGTAAACGAGTGTGATTTGTTCCCTTAAGACGTCACTCTTACGTTACGGCCAATCAAAACTACCAAATGAGTGTGGGCGGGGCTGACCTTGCCAACTGCAAGTTGAAAGTTTGTGTGCGCCGTTGGTTCGGTTTCGCCAAGTACTTGCTGAAGGAAGTCAGACATATCATGACGTTTTCCGTGAAATTAAAAAACACAGGAGGAGCTACTATTTTTTTTAATTAACATGTTAAAGCTAATGTCCATAGCAACATGTTTAAGGATATAACGGTTGGAGGAGGACGTACATGAAACGAGTTAGCATTTGGTTAGCTTAAATTAAGCTAGCAGGAGAGGAACTGTAATGGCCGCCATTATGCTCGCAACAACACCGGCTAACTCGGCTTTACCGCCAACAACTCCCTGTTTTCACCGAGCAGCTGAAACACAAAGTAAAATCATGGATGTAAGATATTTTCCCAATAAGAAACTCACTCCTAAGAGTCATTGCCAAACTTTTAATGGCGTCTCGCTGTTGGGAGAAGGCGTTGTCCACAACAAACAGGAGGACACAGTGTCTCTGAGCATCAATGAACACCTTCACTTTACTGACAGAGTCATGGGATTAATTCACCTCCATATTCAGCAGGCAGCTTCTCCTCCATAAGACACCAATGGTAAGAGGAAACTACTTCAGTGCGGGCTGTGGCAGTTAAACGACTGTAATGCTCACAATATATGCTCCAAATGAATATGCACTGGAGTCATGACTATTGTGTTGTTGGTATTGTATTTATAGTGATTAAATAATCTGCATAAGGCTTGATGTTTGGTTAGTTTAGTTTAGGCGTGGTTGGTTTTCCTTTGGCTTTAGGTCTGTACATCTCAACTGTTTTTCTGAGAGCATATCACCTGCCAAGTGCATGTGTCAATGCATGTTAGAGCCTATTACAAGCCTGCAGGAAGGAAGTAAAATAAATATTCAAGTTTCTTTTATTATTGTTTCTTTGGTGTCACTTTAGTACATTTGGCATAGCAGGATGATCATGGAAAATGTAGACTTAGGCCTATCTTTTTTTTTTATCACTAGCCCATATGTCTTTTAAGATAAGACTTAAATGATCCCACACTACAACACAGCAGCTCAAATAGCACAGATATAAAAGCAAGTTGAATGGATTACTTTTAGAGGAAAGATAAAATACAAAAAGATATACATCAGAATTAGAAAAATATGAAATATAAAGTACTAAATTTAGACACAGCTATACACTCAATACTATTTACTCTATACACACCCTTCACTTGTGCACACACGAGAAGAAGAATATGAATATATGCAGGGTATATATATTGACAGCTGTACAGGATACTTGCACATTGGATGTAATACACATGGTGTGTAGCTGCGTGTAAACTTTAAAACAATGCAGAACGATTTTAACAGTGTTGCCTTGCAAGAGCAGATACCATAGGGAGGTGTACTGCAGAGAATATCAGTAGCAGACATTTTGCAGTGAGGTTCACACTGGGGAATAAAGTAAGTATATATTGCACTGAATTCACAGTGTAGAGATACTGTGTTGGTAAGGGAAGAGTAAGGATTGCTGTGGTTATACTTCTTCAAACGGCACTACAGCTTATGTGAGGTTTCAAAATGTTAAAGAGTATGAAGCGGCCAATAAATAGAAAAATATGACGCGTGTAACAGTCATAAATGAGCATAAACAAAGTTGGCAATTGACCTAGGGCCCCATCCTCTCCCCAAGGACCCTGGGTCACCATGCAGCAATTAGTTTGTGGTAATTGACTGCTAATTGTGTGTTAATAGTGTATGCAGCACTGATTTACAACACAAACTGACATGATAGGGGCACTGAAGCATTTTAATGTCTTGTGGAAGGGCCCCAAGTTAAAAGTCTTTGCAGGATGTTTTGTATTTTTGTGCTTTTTAAATAAATTAGCACTAATAGATACACAATACACACAGATTTGGATTTGGGTTGATCCGCCCTGACCATTATGGAAACACCAACAAACAGCAAACATCTGTGGCTTCAGATAATATAGATGTTTTATAGTCTTTATCGTGACATCAGTGACTGCTTACTGGAATTTTGCTTGATCAAAATTTATCCCTGTGACTCGGATGTTGCTTTAAAGTGTAATTTAAGAATAGAGAGGTGGCTGAAATGAATCATCCAAACCAAAGATGCTGCAGACGGATTTATGTGAGTAATGTCACGTCAGTTCTGCTCTTTTCTCTTTGTTATAAATGTAATACACTTTTATATGAGCAAAAATTGTCTTGGTGGAGACGCATTGTGCTCTCTGGCCCTGTTGGCCTCATGTTGTTTTGATTGTGCTCCATCTCTTTTAATCATTAACTGAGCAGATGAAAGAGGCAGGGAAATCACGGAGATATGTCCGGGTCTAGCCTCTATAGTATTATTATTTGTTATTATTAATACATGACTTAATACATGACAAACGTGTAGTGAAGAGAAATTAACATGCAGCATTTTATTTTCGGGGTTTTACCAACATTAGAGTAAAGTTTGTGACCCTTCTCCCGTGCGCAGCGCAGCGCCGCCGGGCAGCTCTCCAAAAAGGCGTGGCCAGTGACGTCTCCAAATCGGCCAAACCTTAAACCTGGCACTTTGAGGACAGGAGAGGGGATGAAGGGAAATATTAATGACACGCCAGGAATGGAGAAGTTCCTGGAGGAATAACACGGAGGAATAAGCGCCGCGCCGACCCGTGATGTCCGATCATAGTTTCACTTTTACGCATCACGCTTTTTGTTTTTCTGCCCTCACTGACTGTGTGCAGTAGCAACGGAGGCGCTGAAACCTCCGTTAAAAGTCCGACAGCAGCTGCTAATCTTTGCCTCTGATCACCGCCGGGACCCAGTGACAGGTCTGTGACATTAAAGCAAAGGTTTTTATTAATAATTTTTCTTACAACAGACGCAGAAAGAGAGTTTGACCGCAGTGCGTTTAGGAGTAAAAGTAAGCAGTGTTCTCCAGTCTGACAGGTGCAGCTCTGCTCTGTTCCTCATAGTTATGTCTTTTTTTTTTGACTGAGTAGAAACAGCTGGCTCTAACTTTACGTGGTGCTTTGCAGCTTCAAGTGTATAACAAATTAATTAGGTTAATAGTTGTGGTTAGCTGTCGGGGTGCCTTATTTAGTAATTGTTCTGCTGTGAAACAGGCAAAAGGTCAAATATGGTTAAAGCAAAGCATGCACTGATTCATCATGCAACTGCAGGACAGGTGTGTAATTCCACTAACTCAAACCCACCCGGGAAGTCATAGTCGAAATAGTTATAAAATCAATTTTATGATTATAAAACTTATCGGGATTTTATTGAAGTTCACTCCAGAGCTAATAGAGCAAAATCATGATTAATACAAAATTATTCTGTTTGCTTTATTGATTAAAAATAAAGCGTAGAGCTCTACAGAGAGACTACCAGACACAAAGCATGTCAGTAGTAGACAGAGCAATCTCAACACAAAGTCCATTTCTGCTCTGGAGCTTTCACTCGTCCCACCCAAACATCTTCTGCAGACAAAGTAGACGTGGAATTTTAGATTTTAAAATTTCCATCTTTATACACAAAGAGTAATATTTGTACACATTACATAGATTAATTGCGTGTAAAAATGAATGTCCCAATAGAGAAACAACAGAGACCTTAGACATGGACTAATTGGCTGCCCCTCCTTCCTTTTCATATGGCTGCATCTTCCTCAGTGTCTCAGACACGAGAAAGTGGAGACCTGTGAGCCCTAAAGTGGAGCCCAGATACCGCTGGTCGTCCACCAGCAACATGGGGAGTATTTGAATTTCAGTTTTTGTTACACTCTTTAGAAACTAGCACAGTGACATCATGTAATGCAAAGACTGGGGCTGTAAATGCTGATGCTGATATTCTGAGCCCAATTTTCATATTTACATCCTCAAAAGGTCAGAGTATTTTTGTCGAAATTTTACTTGTGATGGAGAGAAAAGACTGTAAACGCATAAAAAGATGTATGATAGAGATGAGTGAAAACTAGACAAGCATTTTATTAGAATAACTTGTGTAAAGAACCTCCTCTAAAGAATTAGTCGTAATAAATATATGTCAAAATACATATCTGTTCCATCACATATCTCAGTGCAGCCCTAATAAGGATGACAGTTGTACGATTCTTCTGTCTCTGCAGAGCTGCACTGCAGCCAGTTTGTGCACTAAATCTTTTTCTGCAGCTGATGCGCATCCAAGATATGAAAGAAGTTTGCAAACCACAAAACAGCAGGCGTAATTCACTCCAATCAGATCTGTCAGTTCAGTTTTCCTCGCTGAAAATCTCCTTAATATTTCCATTCGGCTCCTGCAGGGAGTTAACGCGTGTCTGCAGAACTATAGAAGTGACTTTACATGTGTTTTTATGTTTCTTCGTGAACTTCCTGCAGACCCTCACATGCTGTTACTATACAGTTTATTACAACATTACTGTTGTTTTTTTGTAGGGGGTAGTTTCTAATCTTTTGACGCCGCTGGTGATTATTTTATCGCATCAACAAAACCCGCCCTATCTGCTCCTGTGCATCAGGCGCTGGAAACCAGTGAGGATGTAAGCTTGTCAGCCTCCTCTCCTCAGCCTTGAGACTGCTCACGGTGTAATTATAATCTGGATGTTGCTGTAAATACCAGATTCCTTTTCCACTCACAAATAACTTTGCAGTGGGGGAGTCGAAAGTGTGTGTGTATGTGTGTGTGTGTGTGTGTGTGGAGGAGAGGATTCAGGGAGGTCCTACTGCCATTACCAGAAATAAAAAGTCGGACTTGAAGCACGTCCCCTTCCGTTATCCGGGTTTCACCCACATCGGAAAGTACTCCGCCGGCCAGCACCAAAAACTTGCCAAGGTCACGCTGCTCAACAATTCCTGATACCTCCCCCACTCCATCCAGGGGTCATCCATCACCCAAGATAACCCGAGTACAGAGTGTAACTAAAACTCGGTGCTGTGCATTTCTTTCCTCACTGCGGTGGCCATCAGTGGGTGTTACCAGGCAGGTTAGAGGAGGGTGTGGTGCCGTCACTGTGTGTAGTATCAGGGTGTAATCACACGTTGGAAGCGGTTTCTTTGATATCTTTATTGTGTTCATTTGATTTGTGTTGCAGCAGTTTACCACAGACCTGAGCATCCTGAAAAGATGTCTGACCTCTGAGCAGAAAACTGGTGTAATTTGAGCCACTTTAGGCGACAGAGAGGATATCTGGAAAGCTGCACGTAAATCTGTTGGTCAAAATGAACTCAGTGAAAACCGTTGGATGGACTGATGCTTACAGCTGCTTCCTGCTGTGATTCTGAAGGAATATTTCAGTAGTTTTGACTTCTTGAAGTTTAAGGCACTCCAGTTTAGAGCTGAAACAATGTTAGAAATTAACTGGCGGCAATAATTCCTGCTTCTCATGCGTGCTGTGAAAACTACCTTTAGATTAAACTCAAAGCTTTTTGAGACAAGACGTTTTCCAAACAGTTTTTTGTAAGTGTAGTGAAGGTGTTGGTAGTTTAATATGGGAAAACACAATAATGCACAGTAACTGTGAGACTGAAAAATGAGTAGAGTCTACATCGGCACTGTGCAGGTTGGGTTTCAGAGCGAGAAGTGGATGGAAATGGCACTGGCTGAATATGACGAGAAGAAAACTGAAAGCTGCTGTAAACAATGCAGGTTAATGAGCATTTATAAACGGCTTTGCGCAGAGATCGAGAGCAGGGCAAGGAGGGGCTGAGCGAATCAACAGGTGGGCTCCATTTCAGTGCGCAGGTGCTCCGTTTAACATGTAACAGCGAGGTCCAGCGACAACAGCCATGTAATTGTCAGCTGACAAACAGACAACAATGTTTTAAATTATTCCACAGGCTAGTTAATAACATGTCGGGCAGGAAATCCAAAGTGTGGGATCATTTTGAGAAAGTGAAGGAAGAACCCAAGGTGATATGTAAACTCATCTTCATTGGTCGACTACAAACATGACGTATCATCTGAAACATGGAAGCAGCTACATGCCCATTAGCCCACAGCATCATTAACAGGCGGCTCGCTCAGTGTGTGACGTGCACTTGTAGATAAAATATAGGCCTATATTAATGAAGGTTCATTAGTATGGTTTTGTATTTCTCTGTAATGTAGCACAGTGTTAACAATGTTACTGATACTATTCTTTCTCACACCTTCAACTCAAACCACCAAAATATATCATTTAATAATTACATTCATATCAGAAACATGCAGGAGACTAGTCAGCTAATGGACCTAAATGACGACTATTGGTCGACTAGGAAAATTCTTAGTCAGGGACAGAGTGTAGGTAGATGTTTTGTGTGCAAACCTGTGTGTGTGTGTGTGTGTGTGTGTGCGCTGTGTCTGGCTTGTGGGTGGACACCTGAAGAGTTTTAACACCTAGCAGTGCATGAAGTTCAGACGTGGTTCGACATAAACATGACCTTTTCTTTATGATGTTAAAAATTTACATTGAGTGGGATTCATACACCTACACTGACGGACGGACGGACGATACAGATTGCTGACGTAGCCACATTTAATGGGCTAACTTTCTGAACTAAGTTTAGCCTCTTCATGTAGCCTGTATCATGTTTGATTCTCATGGATAGATAGATAGAGAAAATGTACCCGTTATTGGTCTCTTTTGGATAGGGATGCACCAAAATGAAAATTTGTGGCCGAAGCCGAATAAAATTAAACACTTGGCGGAATGCCGAATACCGTTGTTTAGTTTTTCATAAGTTTTAGCAGACGAACCCCCTCCAGATTAGAGTTGTCATCGTACCAATATTGGGACCCACTGTATGATACCAATGAAAATATCATGGTTCTGAGTAGTATCAAGATACCACAGCGAAAATGAGACAGATGTGCCTTTTGTCATTTATAAAAAGATAAATCACTTTTCTATAATACATCAATGATATTTCAATGGAATAAATTACTTATTGACTTATTCATACTTCAAAAACAGCATCAACAAGTGATTAACATAGGGGGGATCAAAGAAAAATAAATAAATAAAATAAGAATCAACCAGCCACCCTCCTCCCCTGACAAGTCCCTTCATAAGTAAAGAACAGTCCCTAAAGTGCGGTGAGGTTTGTGGACCGTTACCTGCCACAAAGAGAGAAATGTGAACAACTCGTTTGTCCTCTGACACGCCACATACCTGTGTGCTGCCACGGCTTGGCTGTCCAGGTACTTCTGGGCAGTCATGACGCCAAGAAGAGGACATTATTGGAGCCGGAATTCTCCGCCGCCGGTAAGCCTTATCTTGCGCCACGAAGCACTATGGCCGCCGTATTGTTGCTGCTGGTTGAAATCTGTACTCACACAGCGTGCTGAATGATTTATTTTGCTCGCACAAAACTATTTTTAGTCGCAAATGCGAGTGTGGTGACGGACGGAGTAAAATATAGTCACACTGCCGACATTTTACTCCGTCCGTCACCGCACACTGTTTGATTGCATTATCAAAACATGCCGCTATCATTCGGCCTTGCTTTTCACTTTTTCTACCGAATACCGAATGTGTGTTTTTTGCAATATTCGGCCGAATATATTTGGTTACCAAATATTCGGTGCATCCCTACTTTTGGATCATTCATCAGATGCAACAGGTCTCAGGGTGAAGGTCAAAGGTGTCTTGCTCAGTGTCACTTTGGCAGTTTGGCAGAACATGACTGTTGTCTGTTGTCAGCTTCTGCTCTGCTGTTTGCTGTCTTCACTCTGTGTGGTGTGTGTGTGCTTATGTTGAGGTCAGACCTCACACAGAGGCTGCAGCATCATAATAAATGACAACAAAACGTTAGAAAGTCTCAGTAAAAGAACTGATAATGTCAGAGCGAGG